CGATGCTGCGAACAACTCATGTGCGTGAGGATGTCTCAAACAAAATGCGCATTGTGAGGAATATCGAGGGCGCTCCGTGAGTCATTGTGGGCCTCGTTTGGGGCTCGTCTGGGGCCGTCTCGATGCCTGGAAAAAAAAAACCCACACAAATGTGAAATGTCACACACATCTCTTTGTTGAGGATGTCCCGAGCGAAATCGTCATTTGTAGATGGCTGGTTTGGGCCGTCTGGAAGCCTTTTCAAGAGCGATTTCAAAACGATTTTAGAGCAGCAGTTTCCAAAACGATGTTGGTTTCTGTTTTCATTTGTTTGAGGATATCCCTAGCGAAATCATCATTTTCGGTAGTCTTCAGGGCGCTCTTGGAGCCATATTGGAAGCATGTTTGGTCTCATGTTTTCATATTGGAGCACTTAAAGAACGATGTCAAGACGACGTTGAGAACATGTCATTGTGTGGGGGATGTCCCCACCGAAATGCAAAATTTAGGCCGTGCGATTTGTTGTTGGTCTGCCGTGTTGTCGGTCATTTTCTGAGGATGTCCCTAGCGAAAACGCACTGTTTCAACATAAGATGTAATAAAACACCTCCGACAACAGCTCATGATGGTTGGGATGTCGCAGGCGAAACGCCAATTTCGGCAGATTCGTAAATTTCGCGGCGGTCAGCGTTTCGAGGACGTCTCTAGCGAAACGCTTATGTTTAAACGCGATGTCGCGAAGATCTTAGTTGCGTGAGGATGCCTCAAGCGAAATCGCTAGTTTGAAGAACCTGACCGGACAAGAACGAGAAGCGCCCTTTTGCGCCCTGGGCTTATGAGATATCCTACGGTCTTCGCTCTTCCCCCAAAAATCAGCCAGCGCGGTTCCAAAGTGCGCCCCGTACCCCGTCATTAAATCAAATTCTACCGCCAACAAACGGGCCACGCCAAGGGCGCATTTTTGAAGAAGCAACCCAAGACTGAGGTCTCGCGAGCATTCACAGAGCCAGCCGCAAGGTCGGCCCGCGCGCGAGCGCGCCCACGGACGCAACATACGAAACTTACCACCCACTTGCGGGAAGTCCGCACATCAGCACGCGACCCCCTGGCCACGGGCTGGCGGCGAGTAGCGGTTTTCAAACGGCGCAACACGTCATGTGCAGGAGAAGCATAGTGCAGCATAGCGGGCGCCGCCCTTACCAGCAATGCAAAGTCGGCAACGATCCAGGCCATACAAGGGCAGGGCTGCGGGCCGAGCCAAACTCAAAGACACCAACGCAGCGGCCCAAGGACGAAGGAGGGCGGACGAGGAGGCACAAGCGTTTGGGGGGGGAGAGAGAGAGAGAGAGACATAGAAAAAAAGGGGGAAGAAAAAACAAATAGCAAAAACAATAAATTGAAAACCATGTATTCTTTAAAATTGTGATTGTCTTTTATATTAAAAAGGAGAAAATACATATATATCTACACACACGTTCTTAGTATGCGCTGTGCAAATATGTCGTGGCGCGCGCGCGCTTGCGCGTGCGCGTGCGTGCGTGGAATATGTGCATGTGCGTCCGTGCGTGGTGGTCTGCGGCACTGCTGTGTTGTGCCGTGCTGCTCTGCCGTGCTCGTGCGGTCTGAGTGGACGTATGTTGCCTCACTGTGTGTGCGTGTGTGCGTGTGTGTGCGTATGTATGTGTCCGTGTGTGGGCGTGTGCGTGTGCGTGTACCTGTGTGTGTGCGAGTGCCTGTGGGCGTGTGCCTGTGCGTGCGGCTGTGTGAATGGATGTTCTGGGTGTTCTGCCGTGCACCTGCGTGTTCTGCCGTGCTCATATGTGTTCTGCCGTGCTCCTGTGTGTTCTGCAATGGTCCTGCTATGCCGTGCTCTTATGTGTTCTGCCGTGCTCCTGCGTGGTTAAAGTTGAAGTTAAAGACGGGGCCTTCCAGGCAAACGGGGCAAGGAAAACAGGGACAGGGCCAAACGGGACCCACGTTCCCGAGAGAAGCCGAGTCCCAAGCGAGCACCGAGGGCGACGGAAGCCTACTCACGTCGGGGAGCAGCTGGCGCGAGCCTCACCGATGCTTATCATTCACTCTTTCATGGTCGGGTCGCCACGGCGCGCCCGACGGCGGCGCCCTTCGCGGTTTCCCAGGGCGCCGACTGCTGCGCTGGCCGCGGCGGAGAGCCCCTCCTCGGTGAACTCGAGGGCCCCAGGGAGCCCAGCCCTCGCCGCGGCAGGGCACCGCAGAGGCTGGCTGGCAACGGCCGACGCGACGGCCTCACCCGCGGGGGCCTCGCCAAGGCCCTCCGCCACCTCGGCTCTGCGGCTGCCGCTGGGACGCCTCCCGCACTGCTCGCTGTGGCCGAGGAGTCGACTGCTGGCCCCGCTGCGATGCCAAGCCACTCCAGGTGCCGCCCCTGCGCATGCTCGGGCACAGGCCCCTTCGAGCGCAGAGCAGGAATGCCATATCCTTCCACATTGTGCCTGGCAGCTCGTGACCCCTCCTGCATCCTGCCTCCTGGATGGAGTCCCCGTGGCCACAGGCTGCGCTGGTTCCTGCCCGCCTCGTCGGCCTCGCCGCCTGGGCAGCGCTCCTGGAGGCGAGGCCTCTCCCCTGGGCGGCCGCCCCGCGCCGTGTGGGCGCCGCACATGGAGTACGCCTCGAGCTCCTGGGTGTTCTCACCTTCTCCCTCGCAGGCGTAGGGCAGGGCGTGTCCCAGGATGCTGATGGCTACGGCGCTGGTCGTGAGGGAGGCCGAGCTGCTGCCAGTCGAGCGAGCGCTCTCCAGGCGTGGCCACTTGGCAATCGGCCCGACGCCAGCGATCTCCTCCGCCGCGCGGGACATCTCGGCGGTGGCAAACCGTACCTGGCGCCGCTCAGCGGCAGGAAGGGGCCCTTCGCAATCCATGCCCCCGATGCTGTGCCAGATGCTGGCGGCCCGGCAAATCCTGCTCCCGAGCTCTAGCACGATCTCCGCCTGCGCGCGGTGGTGCTTCTGCATGGTCTGCCCTGTTCCCGAGCACTCCGAGCAACTCCACGCCGCGCAGGCCGCAGGCCCATCCTTGTGGAACAGGTCCAGCCCCACTCTCGCGGCACTGGGGCGGCCCGCGCCCCCGGCGCGCGGCTCCAGGGGCTCGTACTCGGCCCCCGCGCACTCCTCGCCCCGTGAAGGCTGCGCCCGTTCAGAGGTTCCTGGCCTGCAAGGTCTCACAGAAGAAAGTCCAGCCCTGCGTTTCCCAGCGCCCGCCTTGTAGAGCACGTGCACACCTCGATGCATCCGCAGGTTGAAGCCATGCTCGACTCCGCACCCCCACAGGGAGGCGCGCCGCAGGATCTCGTAGAGCTCGGTGATGTCCAGGAAGATGCTGGCGGAGGCAAACCCCCGCACTCGCGCAGAGGCGGCACAGGCTCTGCGCAGCCAGCTTGCCTTGCCAATACTGCGGTTCATCTTACTCCAGAAGAAGCGGTGATCGTGCTCCGCCTCCCGCAGCGCGCGGATGGGCTGCCTCCGACTGCCCCAGATGCGCATGGGCCGAGGGCCGCCCACTATCGGTCGGACCCCTCCGTCCGCCTGGGGAAGGAAGACCATCATGGCAGCACGGGCGCCCAGGGCCTGGGGCAGCGCCTCCTCCTCGGTGCCGCTGCTCGCACGCGGGCTCTGCCCCGCCGCACTGGCCCCGCTAGGCGCTTGCCTGCCCTGGCTGCACTCCTCCGTTGCTGCTCCCAGCTGCGCGGCCCGCAGGGCGGGCGGCCAGAAGGGGCCAGGTCCGCAGCCTCAGCGACCAGCTCCTTCTTGCATGCCTGGGACACCTGCGGCCACTCGCCGAGCACGCTGCCGTGCCGCTCGGCTTGGCCACGCTCCGCTGCGGCCTGCGGCTGCCAGGGCTCGCTGCCGCCTGCGAACTCGCCGTCGTCGCTGCTGATCTCCTCCATGGGGCAGGACTCAGCCCACGGCGCTCGCTTGGGGGCTGGCGGAGGCACCGCGAGCTGCGCCCGCGCCGCCTCCACCTGGGCACGTATGGCCGCCCATGCCACCTCGAAGTTGCTGGAGCCCCAGGCTTCTGGCAGCTTGTCCAGCTGCGTGAGGAGCCCTGGCACATGGCTGGCTCCAGCCCAGTCGGTTGCGCGCTGGCGCCGCCGCTCCTCTGCCTCTTCTCGGGCTGCTTCCTCGAGGACCTGGAGCGCCCTGCTGGCCTCCTCCACCTCGCCGTCGAGCGTCGCGAACTCGTCCTGGGCCTCTGCAGCTGGACCTCAGCGAGGCCCCGCGCCGCCTGCTTCTGCTCGAGGGCCTGGCGGGCTGAGCGGGGCCGCTTCTCCCCCTTGCTGATGGCGTTCGCCTCCTTGTGCAGCAGAGCCGACCGCGGCATCGCAGAGGCCTTCTGATCCGCTGCCCCCTTCTGGGCGATGGCCAACGCTGCCCTCTTCGCCTCCAGCTGGTTGGCCACGACGCCCGCGAAGCCGCTGTCGACGCCGTCTGGCGGTCCAGCCTGCAGCGCCTCAAGCCGCTCGACCGTTGCCCGCAGCCTCTCGATCGCCGTTGCCCCTCCGTTGCTGGGCGCCCCACTCGCCGCCGAAGCCGAGGTCTGCGACTTGGTGGATGCCGTGCGCGGCGCTGCGCTGCGGGCCTGCCGCTGAGCTCGACGCCCCCGAGGCTGGTCCACCCAGCCGTCCTTGTCAACATCGGGCTTCGCCTTGCCGCGGGGCGACTCCATTGCCCAGGGCGGCGCGGCACGCCCACAGCTGAGGCACGTGGATCGCCAGTCCCAGCTCCAACAGCCGCAGCTGCACATCCAATAGGCCTTGCTGCGCCTGCCACTGCTGCCGCCACGCTGGGACCTCGCCATGGCGCCAGACGCGCTGCCCGCTGGGCAACGCCCCCACGCTGTGAGAGCAAGCAACACAACAAGAATTTGCACTGGCCCAAAGCGCGGAGGCCCTCGCGCTCAGAGCGCCGCGCACGACTCGCGGTCGTCGGGCACTCCATGGCCTTGAGCCGAAATGGCTACGGATGCTCCTGTGTGTTCTGCCGTGCTCCTGTGTGTTCTGCCGTGCTCGTGTGTTCGGTGTGGTCTGCCGTGCTCCTGCGCATTCTGCCGCGTATACATGTGTTCTGCCGTGCTCCTATTTATTACGTGTGTTAAAGTTAAAGTTAAAGACGGGGCCTGCAAGGCGGAGTGGCGGGGCCAAAAGGCCAAGAAAAGGACACGCTCACCCGAGAGGGGCCGCCTAGGGCCGCCTCTCGCCGCGGGGGCCGCACTGGGCCTTCACCGCGCCGCCTCTCGCCCTCCCAGCGGGGCCGCCTTGGGCCACCGCCCACAGTGAACTCGACTGCGACTGAACACAGGAGTCTTCACTCACAGGCAAAGCAGCGCTACACACGGAATGCAACTGCTTGCCTCATTCATCGAGGGGGCCCCTCACGCCCCTCGGCATCTGGACGACCTGCAAGCGGCCCTCGAAGATACGCTCACGCTTCTCGGCATTCGGCCAGCCTACACTACCGGGCCTGACGTCGATGAAGCGGGCCTCGGCCGAGCTCAGGAGAGACTCAACTCCCGACTTGGGCCCAATGGCCACGCACATCATCGCCGCCACCGTGAAATCGTCCAGGAAGTAGAACAAGCTCTCGCTGAACACGTGGCGGGAGGCCATCTTCGCCTCCCTCTGCTCGCACAGAGCCTCCAACGCATACAGCGGCCTCGAGAGCACCTCCCGCTCGCCCATGAGCTCGGCGCCCTCCGCCAGCGTGCCCCGCTGCTCGGACAGCGCCGCCAGGTCGCCCTTCTGCGAGACCAGCTGCTCCGAGGTCGCCTCCAGCGCGCACGGCCGCTGTGAGAGCGCCTCCAGCTCGCACGTGGCCTCGGCGCTCTCCTCGAGCGCGCCCTGCCGTACGGACAGCGCCGCCAGGTCGCCCTTCAGCTCGACCGTGGGCTCGGCGCCCTCCACCAGCGCGCCCAGCCGCCCCGCTAGCGCCTCCAGCTCGACCGTGAGCTCGCCCTTCTCGTCGACGCCGCCGTCAACGCCATCGAGGGTCGCCCCCTCGATCCCGTCGCCGACCTCCTCGGAGACGCTCACGATAACGTCCGCCACGAGCTTGGCCTCGACGTCGGCATCCTCGCCCCGCGATGGCCCCAGCCAGACTCTGGCGACTACCGCGCGCGCCAGCCACCAGCCAGGGGCACGACGAGCTGCCGCACTGCCAGGCTGCGAAACAGGCACGGCGTCCTGCGGCGGGCCCGCGGCCCCACTCACCCCCTCAGAGCCGTCGACCAGGGCGGGGGGGACGCCCCTAGTCGGAAACTCAGCATCAGCCGCCTCGCCACACGGAGCGTCCTCGTCGCCGTGATCCTCGAACACCTCCTCAACCGAGAGCGGCAGCGGGGAGCACGACGAGTAGCACGTCGCGCCGCACGTGCAGAGGCGGCCGCAGCCGTCCAGCGGCACCCAGCAGCCCGAGCTCGGGACGAAAGGGGGCGCGTCACGACGGAGCCCGCTCTCGGCCTCGAGGGGCGGGAAGCTCTGCAACAGCACGTGAGCCGCGGGCTGGGTGTCCGCCCTCTTCGCCTCGAGCCTACGCGCGTGCTTCTGGGCCTTGCGCAGCTCGGCACGGCCAGCTGAGACCAGAGACACGCCGCAGGGCCCCTCGGAGTGGAGCGCCACGTTGCGCCGAAGGATGTCCAGCGCCTCGGGCCTCTCGCCCGCGAGGGGGGACGTGAGGGCAGGAAGAATACAGGCAACCCTCTCCGCAACCTCGGCGTCGCCGAAGAGGTGCAGCAGCGCAGACTCGCAGGCGAGAGCCTTGCGGTCAGCGGCCACCAGCCTGTTCTTCAGCTTGAAAATGAGCCGGTCGGCGGACGCGCGCGCACCGGCCACCCCACGGTGGGGCTCTCCCGCAGCCACCATGCCCAGCTCAGGGGACCCCGCATGGAGCCTTGAGCCAGCATGGCTTGAGCCAAAATGGCTACGGATGTATTATGTGTGTGTTCTGCCGTGCTCTGCCGTGCTCTGCCGTGTTCTGCTATGTTCCTGTGTGCTCCTCTGTTTTCTGCCGTGCTCCCGTGTGTTCTTTGTCTGCCGCGCTCCTGCGAATTCTGCCGTGCCCCTACTTGTTCTGCCGTGCTCCTGCATGTTCTGCCGTGGTCCAACGTGCTCTGCCGTGTTCCTATGTATGCTCCTGCATTTCTGCGTGTCCTGCCGTGTGTCTGCGTGTTCTGCCGTGCTCCTGTGTATGCTGTGTGCTCTGCCGCGAGCCTTGGCGTTGACGATTTCAAGTTCTGCAACGCGAACTACCCCATAGGTTGCACCACATAGCGTGCACAACCAAGCTTGCGCCAATTAAGGCGCACCCCGCAGATTACCCAACATAAGTTGCAGCTCACAGGTAGCATCACATGGACTGCGCCGAATAGCGAAATTAAATCACTTACATTGCATCCCAACAACTGCACCACAACGAATGCAACGTTTAGAATGAACCATACACGAATCACGCACCTCGTAATTGCACCACGTTGGCAGCACCGCATACAGCGCTCAATACACAGGCTGCACAACTCATATGCCACATCGAGACTAGAATAAACCCCCGTGTGAGGCCAACGCGTGCAAGCACACGTTCGTACACATCGATATGGTGACAATCATATTCCGAATGAGTAGCGTTGAGAAACCACCGGACCAGAAAGCCTGACTGGCCGACGCCAGCAATTTCCAACCAAAAACAGCGCATGTTGCGCAAGTAGGGTGAGGGTGGGCACCGTCGCCAAGGACTCCAAAGGGCTGCCAGCTGCATGTCCAGCCGCGCTGCTCGTCGCAGGCTCGCACCTGATCGACACGACGACAGAGCGACAACAGAAGTCAAATATATGGCGAATCAACGCTGGCAAGTAACTGCCCAGTCCTGAGCAGAATGGTTTGGTTTTCCCAGACGCCAGCTTAGTACCGTCCACATGCTGAAAAAAACATAATCGGCTCTGCAAGCGCAATTTCCAGCAGACTTACAGGCACAGCCGACCTGGGGCTGATTAAACCAGAAGCTATATCCACGAACAGCCGACCCCGCCGCCCATTCGACTCCAGCATTCCAAACTGCAGATCATGTTTCTCCAATCTCCGTTGGTTGGGCACTCGTTTTGAACGGAGCACTTGCTGCTCTCCATATCCTCTCTGCCTTGGCCCCCCTCCCCCTCTTCTCCCCTCCTCCTCCTCCTCCTCCTCCTCCTCCTCCTCCTCCTCTTCCTCCTCCCCCTCATCCTCCTCCTCTTTCTCCTCCTCCTTGTCCTCCTCCTCCTCCTCATCATCATCCTCATCATCATCCTCCTCCACCTCCTCTCCTCTCCTCTCCTCTCCCCTCCCTCCGCAACTCTCCTCTACTCTCCTCTCTTTCACTGATGCTTTTGGAGACCATTCGTCTGACTCGCTCGCGTTGACCTCCCATGGGTGCTACTGAAAACACAACCGATGAAATCTCCTGCGCTGCTGGGAAATCCAACGGACCAGCGAAGTCGCCCTCCTACGGGCGTCCGCCCCAGACCTCCTACGGGCGTCCGCCAAGACCAGCAAACTGTCGCAGCTGCCTGCACCCCTGGGGAGCCCAACGAGGCCATATCCCTCCAGGCATCCAGACCAAGCCTCCTCTGCCTGGGCGCGACAAAAATACGCCCCCTTCATCCCCCTCCTCCTCCTCCTCCTCCTTCTCCTCCTCCCTCCTCCTCCTCTTCCTCTTCATCCCTCCTCCTACTCCTCCTGCTTCTCCTCCTGCTCCTCCTTCTCCTCCTCCTCCTCCTCCTCCTCCTCCTCCTCCTCCTCATCCTCCTCCTCCTCCTCCTCCTCCTCCTGCTCCTGCTCCTGCTCCTCCTCCTCCTGCTCCTCCTCCTGCTCGCCCTCCTCCTCCTCCTGCTCCTCCTCCTCCTCCTCGTCCAACTTCCCCTCCAAGCTTGTGTGCCCGCTATTTCATCCCATATTATCCGTGTCACCCTTCTCCTGCCAATGCCATGGCGTGCACAGCGTCTGTCTGTCTGTCTTCCCAGTTCCTGCGCCCGTGAGGAGTCCGACGGAGCCGCCAACATACGGAAGTGTCCGCCACCCCGTCAGCGGCACGCTGCGGCGTGTTAGAATGCTCCTCTGCCAGGCCTGAGCTGGGTCGAATCGCGAAAGCGAATTCAATCGGAAACTGATCAGATCGCCAGCGAATCGTCCCAAGTCAAATCGAAATCGGATCGCCACGCTCCTTTCTCGGCTGGCCCTGGCCGATGCTTGCGGATCGAACCGAATCGATCAAATCAGAATCGCGGGCCAGGCCGGCCAATCGAATCAAACCGTAGGCGGCCCTGTCGCTGTGTGGTAACTAACAGGTATTATTGCTTCTAGGGCCGATGCCCCTCCCGCACGCCACCTCAGAAAACAGCCCCCCTGGTTTTCCTGTCCGGCGTCCACTTTGGTCTTCAGGTGGCTCGAAGACAGCAAGGGGCTGCCCTGTAACGGCTGCAAGAAGCCCCAAGACCATTGAAAGACGACCCAGGGAGCTCCAAGACGGCCCAACAGTTAGGCGGCCAAAGATGGCCTGAAGAGGGCCCAAAATGCTCCCAAGACGCCCAAGGAGGGCTCCAAGAGAACGCCCAGTGGTATTCCATTGCGTTTGAAAAACATGGTGATATCCTTTCCTTTTGGGTCCGAAAACCGAGTACGGCCCGGAAGGGCCCCCGATCGCCCCTAAACGGCCGAGGCACCCAGGACGGCCCGAGAAGCCCCCAAGAAGGGCCCCAAGAGAGGGAATTCGAAGTTCGAAGTGGCATCGGGAGCATGTTTCTTCAAGATGGCTGTCAAGGCCCCCAGCATGCAGCCAAGAGGCCCCCAAGACACCCGCAAGATGCCCACGAGGCGGAACCATCAAGCCCGAGACGTCCCCGAGATCCCAAGGGGCCCCCAACCGGCGCCCAACAGGCCCAAATATACCCCCGAGAAGGCCCAAGAAGGACCAACGCGAGTGAAAACAGGACACTGAACTAGAACAAATCCTAAACTCAACCTCCTCCGGTTCTTCCTCCCCCATCATCCTCCTGCTCCTCCTCCTCCTCCTCCTCCTCCTCCTCCTGCTCCTGCTCCTCCTCCTCCTCCTCCTCCTCTTCCTCCTCCTCTTCCTCCTCCTCCACCTCCTCCTGCTCCTCCTCCTCCTCCTCCTCCTCCTCCTCCTCCTCTTCCTCCTTCCTCCAAGTTATCATCCTGCGCCTCGTCCTCTTCCTCCTCCTCCTCCTCCTCCTCCTCCTCCTCCTCCCCCTCCTCCTGACCTTCAGATCGATCTCCGACGCGAGGGAGATGAAGGAGGAAGATAAGCTGCAAAAGAATATTGTTTCTGTGCGACCTCTGAACAGCAGTGCGAGCTCACCATCTTTCCTGTCAAATGACAAAAGGGAGCGCCCGGCCAAAAAAATATCCGACCGCGCGCAGTGCCAAGAAGCATGGCAGTCGGGAGACAGCCAACGAAAACAAGAGAAGACAGGGAGAGGGGAGGAGGGGTGGGTAGAGAGGAAGGGGGGAAGGAGAAAGCAAGCAAGCACGCAGCAAAGGAGAGGAGAAGGCGGGCGAGAAGGGAGAGAGAAGGGCACGTGCCCCGAGCGTGGCTACCGCGCTCAGCGCACGCGCTGCGTTCCACGCAGGGCGGCCGGAGTGGAAGGGACAAGGAGGAGGGAGGGAGACGGCGGCGACGGCAGACGGCGGCAGCAGAGAAGAAAGGAGGGAAGGAGGGAGGGAAAGGGGAACGAAGGAAGGAGGGCAAGAAGGGAGGAAAGGGACGGAAGAACGACTCAGGGTGGCCGCCAATCCTGACACTGTCGTAAAGGACGATGTGCCACAGGAGCGCGCGGCGAAAACAGCAGGCACCAGTTTTCGCGGAGGGATGCGCGCACTCCCGCATAAACAACGAAAGACGGTGTTGCAAGTCGTGCATGCTGTTCGCGGCATCAGCGCTGTCCGGGAACAGGTTGTATACCCAGGTCATCCCTACGGCAGAGTGAAACACAAGATCTGGCGCGAGGAAGTGCGGCTCCTCCCGGTGACGAAAGTGAGGATAGGGGGCACGAGGGAGAAGAGAGGGAGGGGCGGGAAGGAAGAAGCGGTGAAGTTGGGCAGGACCGAGACCGAGAGCGCTGCGGTGCACCACGCCGAGCATGGCGATTATCTTTCCGAACAGGCAAAGGGACCAAAGGGAAGTGCAGTAGACTGTCGACATCAGAAATATGTAAAGATCTCAGAAAATGAGCTTGCACATTGCCCAAAAGGAAAAGTGAGGAAAAGGACGAGCGGCCAATAGCAGGCGTGCGGTACTCGATGTAGCTTAAAACGTGAGCTATGTACCGTCCTACGACTTCTCCGATAGTGTGTTAACGCTGTGACGTACGATCGAATGAATCCGCCAAACGGCCTCCTGCACACAGGTGCTGATAGCCTCATCCATTAAAGAATTTGTGTCGTAACGAACGCCGAAGAACTTATAGCTAGGGCCAGACGGACTTCGTCTCGAAAGCACGCGCGCTTTCTTTAACCGGATCGAATACGACGCGGTTGGCTTCACCCCAGCGGTGGAGTGTACGCTGGACGGCGCGCGTGCGTTCAAAATCAGTGGCGCCGTCCACGGCGGCTTCCAATTCTCGGAACGCATTGAGATCGTCTGCAAACATAATATCTTCACATCCTTCCGCGCGGATGCCCATGCAGGCGTCTGAAAAGAAGATGTTCCACAAGACGGGGGCCCTGACAGTTCCCTGGTACACCGTATGACGCATTAAACTATCTCTGGATAGACTGCCCTGCACCACCACCCGGGCCGTCCAAGGTTCGAGCCAGCTGGCAATAACTGCGCACAGGCGGGATTCGCACCCGAAGCCTTGCAGCTTCAAAGGAAGGCGCGCGCATCGACTCGATCGAAGGTACCGGCCACATCCGAACAGTAGAGGGCTACACGGCGGCCCTTTGAAAATGCGAGCAGTCAGCGGCGAGTTACATACAACAATGCGTCTCTGGCGGCGCGGCACAAAAGGCGTATGGGTTCGGACCAAAGACGCTCGCGCTTTCCAAGCGGGGCACAAATGGCGGGTCGAGCATGCGTTCGATAACTTTGAACATTTGCGCAGTTAATTTAATCCCTCTGTACAGATCAGGATTCGACAGCGCTCCACGCTTGCGAATCGGGAATATCCAATGAACGCGCCAACACTGCGGCCACTCGCCTGAATCGACCATGCGCTGGGCAAGCCAGGCCAGAGGGATAGATAGAGTTTTGGAGCAGCGCTTCAAAATAATGGCTGGGATCAGATCCGGACCCGTGCCGCTGTCTCCCTTCAGCTGCTGGAGACAGCGCCGGGCAACGCGGTTGCGCAGGGGAATGAAAGAGGGAAGGGGGGGCAAGAAGGGGAATTGTTAAATCGCTGAATTCGTTTTGGACCTCAGTGGGAAAGCACCATTTGACAGCAAAACAATCCGCAAAAACTTCCGCCTTCGCATCCCGAGACAGAGCCCAAGAGCCGTTCGGGCGCTTAAGCGCTGAACTGGGGGGGTTCGACGCATGGTGCATCAGCTGATCGGATAAACGCCACCATTGCTTGCTTCCTCTTCTCAGGGAGCGCAAGCGGGCACGAACGCGAATCACATGAGCCGAATACGCACGAAGCAGAACCTGGCTGCACGCAACGCTTGCTGCAGGAGAGGCCCCAGTGCCGGCAGCCTCACACTTCCTGCGGACAACATCGGGACAGTGCGAATCCAGCCAAGGGTGAGAGCTCTGAAATTGACCAGCGCTGCTAAGGATGAGAGCTGCCATTCCTTGCCAA